TAAAAATGAAATCAAACATATAAAACATTTTCAAGCATATAAAACCCACAATCTCTTTTTTTCTCAATTGCATCAAGTAGTTAATATGGCATATTACATTCCTAATTCTACGAGCCGCCTTTGTGCCACACCCCTCGAGGCCAGCCCAAACAAGTCCATGTTAGGGTCTTAAATTCTTAGTTTTCACACAAAAAAATAATAATTTTACAGTTTTAATTGCTTTTAAGAAGATATTTTATTAGGATGAATGAATTGACAACATTACCAAATAGGGGATTCTCGAAGCAATTAAAACTGTAAAATTATTATTTTTTGTGTGAAAACTAAGAATATAAGACCCTAACATGGACTTGTTTGGGCTGGCCTCGAGGGGCGTGGCACGTCCACCCCCGGCCTAGCGGCCAGACTCAAGAAAAGGGAAAAAGCAGCAAATTTTCAAAAGGCACACGCCTGGGCTAAGGCGCAAGGCGCACCAGGCGTGCGCCTTTTGAATGGGCTGTGCCTAGGACTGCGCCTCGCCTGTGCGCCTAGGCACGCCTTTTAAATCACTGGGGGGTTCTATATAGGAACCTCATAAAAATGGATCATTGGAAAGAGAATGCCTTGTATGAAATATAAAGACGTAATTTTCACCACTCGTTCAAGATATTGGCTTCTAAAAGAACTGAAAAATTAAGGAATTGATATCCACACAAGAATTGGGTAATAACCAAGAAATTAAGAATAAGACTATCAAGAATTTAGCATGGCGTCTACTGTCTAGCACAGGATGCATCTAAAAGGGAAAAGAAAGAAAACCTTGAGGAGGGAACTCAGGTTTAAACATGGGCGCTTCTGGTATCTTTGTTTTGCGCAATATCTGTCAAGGATACATGTTATGGTTTTATCTTACATTATACATGTCAAAATCAATTCAAATTTCAGCAAGAGAAAGAGAGAAAGACCTCAAACATTTTGTTCTGCTTCTTCACGTAAGACATGATGAAAGACCCAATAAGTGGGACTTCCACCAACCAAACGAAGAGCTTCAATGCAAACCCTGTCAAATGAGGAGCTGGCACACGCAAGCATTTACCAATTAAAAGCATGTAAAACCAATTGATTCCCTTTTCTTTATCTCCTACTAACCTATAAAATGCTGATATTACAACAATTTACAAACTTAAAAAGAAACAAATTATATAAATCAGACAGAGAACCAATGAACGAAAATAAGTTAACCTTTGATCTCTCCTGGTTCATACTTCACATCAGCCAAGTCAACATACTGCGCCGGCAATATAACCCGCTTCTTCCCCATCTTCAAAAGCAAATTTCTGCACAATTGCATCCGTGAAGTTTTAGGATCGACTTGAACTCTAAGAGCAAAGATCGATAAAGCAAGGAAGTAATTACAAACAAAATAACCAAAATGTTCAAGTTTGTTATCTCTTTAAGTGCATAAACGAACATTAGAGAACTCAGAAGCAAAACCAAAATCTAATCGATCACTTTACGAATTCTTATTCTTATGGAGAGAGAGAAATTAGAAAAATAAGCAAAGAGTTGCCTTGATATTATATTTGGATCTTCCGACCTTTACAAGAAGTTGAGACTTGAGAGAGAGAAAGAGATGGATGACTAGAGGAGGGAATTGGTGCACGGCCTTCGTTTGTTTACTGGTTTACTGCTTTCGCGCGACTTCATCCAACCAACCACTATACGTTGCCGTGCCGAGTCCGTAGCTGCTAGTAATAAAACAACGCTTGGCACATCACTTTTCTGTTACCTGTACAGTGGACAGTCGTATTTAATATTCGTCGGGGAAATCCGGTCTTTCGGTTTTAAAATTACCGAACCGAATCGATTGGTTCGGTTTTTTTAATATATAGATTCTTATAAATATATTATAATATTTACAATATATATTATAAATATAAATGCTATTTATATAATAATGTATATATTATTAATAGATTATTACAAATATAATATCTAATATATATACTGATCAATTCGATTAACTATAGGTCAATGGAAATCAAACTGATTGGTTTGATTAACAGGGTTTTTGGTTCAGATTACCGGTTTCAATTTAGTTTTTTATCAGCACCCATAATATTTGATACATCATATGCAAAATTACATTTATGTTCATTGCTTTTTAAAATTCCCTATATATTTATTAAATTGAGGTGGCATGATTAACACGTGCTTTAGATAGTATTTTTTTGGAGAATGACGGTTCAGCACACGGTCAGAATTTGTAGACTCAAAGTACATGTGGGGTAGGTGTTAATTCAAAATTGATACCAATTCACAGGCATGTATAGATGCATAGAGTGTGGGTTTTTGACCTTTTAAAGGTTTATAACTCTATAATAAAAATCAGAAATCTGCATTGGGCCTGTCGTTTTTTTTCCTTGGAGATAATTGAAAAGAGGTTATAATGAAGATAAATCATTATGAAACGAGTTCTGCCAGCTTAGATGGGGTGTCCCACCAACATGATCTAATCCTATGTTTATACCATGGTTTTCAAAACCTGACCGGACCGGATGGTCAGCTTGGACAAACCGAGAACTGATCAGGTGACCGGTTTCAGTTTTCCCCAAAACTGTTGATTTTGATCAGCAAACTGTTGATTTTGATCAGCAAACTGCTGACCCGGGTGATTAACCGTTTGAACAGTTTTTACCTTTTTTTAATTTTTTTTTTCAAAATAGATTGACCATTCGGTTCAAACAATCGGACCATTCAACCCGATACCAGACCCCTGACTGATTCGGTCTCTGGGTCGGTTTTAAAAACCATGGTTTATACATATGGTATTCGACCTATGTTCATACACAAAAGTTATATTCAAAACAGTTTGAGATAAAGCTTTAGTTTTATCAATCCAAAACAACAAGTGCCAGCTAATGCCCCTAGCATCTTCATTACAGCTCTATTCTGAGAATTCAAAACTAGTGACTGTCATCCAATTTTGGGCTTTTCTATAATGAAGGGTTTTTCAGACCGCTATGCATTCAGCTACAAAAGGATTCCAATGTCGAGGCTACAGTCCCTCTACAGGCTCTTGTTGCAACTTGGGTGAGATTGTAAGGGCCCGACCCGAGCTTTTCATGGGCCGGGTTTGGATTGGACGGGTTAAGGAATCGGGTAACTTGAATTCAACCCATTTTCCAAGTTTGTTTGCATAAATACATATATTTATATGCATTTTATTTATATAAAAACTGCGAAAAAGTAACAGGCCCAATGCAGATTTTTTATTTTCACTGCAGAGTTATAGACATTCAAAATGTCAACAATCCACACTCTATGCACCAATGCTCATCCATGAATTGGCATCAATTCCGAGTTGGCACCTACCCCAACAGTACTTTGAGCCTACAAATTCTGACCTTGGGCTGAACCATTATTCTCCTTGAAAACTAGCAGGGACCTATGTGATGCACGGGAAAATCTAAAAGATTGAATAAGTTTACTTACTATTAATTAATTCATAAGTTATAATCAAAATTTGTTGTTAATTAACTAAAAGTATTCAAAGTTACTGTTAATATTTAAAATTTTAATAATTGTATTTTTCATTTAATGTTGATTTACAGAAAACAATTGTTGTTAATTTAATATGAACAAATATTTTTAATAAATTTAATTTTATTAATCATTCGTAGTAATTTTAATAACAATTATATAGGAATGGCAATAGGTCTGGTTCAGGCGGGTTCAGGGCAAGGCACCCACTCCCCATTAGGGATGGGAAATCCTCAAATTTTCCCGCCCCATCCCCAGTGTTAGACAGGTTAAAGGCAAGGCACCCACTCCTCGTTAGGGAAGAGGAATCCTCAAAATTTCCTGCTTCATCCTCAATGTCAGGTAAGTTTAGGGCAAGGCACCCACTCCCCGTCAAGGATGGGGAATCCTTGAATTTCCCTGCCCTGTCCCTAGTGTTGGGTAGGTTCAAGGCAAAGTACCCACTCCCTGTCAATCCAATATTCAATTCAATGACAAAAATGATCAAAAAGATATATTGAGTATTAGCCACATGGTAAATTTCTAAAATTACGCTAAATTGTCTTTAATTTTCAAAATGTAATTTTATGAAAATTTTGAAATTTTTATTACATTTGTGTAATTTTGAAAATTTATTCAAATTTATTATTAAATTGTTATTAAATAATTTATTTTCTTTTTAAATGGTTTACTTACAAAATTACACTAATTTATCTTATATTTTCTAATATAAACTAACCAATAATTTCCTTTCTCCAATATTATACAAATTTATCTTAATAATTTATGTAAATATTGGTTCAAATTACAATTTTCTCTTTCTCATACTCATTTATCTTTAATAATTTTCAATAACTTACAATGAAAACTACATAATTTTTCAATAGTTTTTCAAAATCTATCAAATGTAATAAATTTTCCTAAAGTTTTCAAAGTATTCCAATAGTTTTAAATAATTATTTAATACATTTTAAATAAACTTAAAAAAAATTATATCTTTTAATTTCCAAAATGTTATTTTACGAAAATGTAGTTTTATGAAAATTTTTGAAAAAATTATTGCATTTGTGTAATTATGGAGATTTATTGAAAATTATTTTAAATTGTTATTAAATATTTATTTTTATTATGTAGTTGACTAACAAAATTGCACTAATTTATCTTTTATTTTTCCAATATAAATTAATTAATAATTTCATTATCCAACATTTTAATATTTTATTCCCCCATTTGCATTCGTTTCTTAACTATAATAATTATCAATTTTCTAGAAATTAGTTAAAGAGTTTTCAATTTCTATAAAATGTTGTTAATTAACATGAATATAAGAGTATTTACCTAAAATACTTTAAAAAGTCATGATAAGTTAATTAATAACAATATTTATTAATTTTTGATAATTTATTATTGTACTAATAAGAATATTTAATTTTTGATAATTTACTAACCATATTTATTAACTTTTGATAATAAAACTATTTAATATTCATTGAACATATATTAAATTAAATATTAGGGTAAAATACAAAAACCTCCCCTGAAATTTCTAATAATCATAAAAATCTCCCCTCTAATTTTATTTGAATAAATACTTCCCTGAACTTCTGAGAAACTCGACAAAAACCTCCCTTCTGTCACCTTCCCAGACGAAAAACGTTAGACTCATGTACCAGTAACCCGTGTAATACACAGATTAGACCCGTATAATGCACGGATTTGGTTGTACGATCGGATTTCGTATTCAGGCTTTTCGAAAACAGGTCTCACTGACCCGCATACGTCGTCTTCTTCGCCCGAACTGTCAATCCCTATATTTTGTAGGAGCGGTTTTTCCCAGCAGCAGAAGGAACAAGAAGATAGAGACTGCCTCCAGATCTCTGACTTCGATCCAAATTCTCTACGATACGCCGCTCTACATGCGCATTTTAGCAAAAGATGATTCATACTTCTTTTTCGTCATCTTCCCGCTCCTTCTCTACTCTGACCCTGACTGGAGAGAGGAAAACACAATCTCTCTAACCATTGACGAATTCTTTGAACCCCTTTTCAATCTACAAATCTCTCACTCTCTCTCTCCTTTGCCAGTCTGGTCATCCGCATGTGCAAATCGAAAACAGACATCGATGCAGCGGAACCGGCCAGAAGCTTGCGAACCTCCCAGACCCCTTGGTGACCTTTTGACAGCCCTAGAACTGTGAGATCCTCATTCACGAACCCTTCAAGCAGCTATAACACTAGCGGCAATTACACAATCGGTTCTAGCTACAAAGCTTCATCGGCAACTTCGATTTCCAGTAGACCTTCCCTCTCAGGCCTCCAACATACCTTACCCGAGAAACCTCAATTCTACGACTTGTCAGAAATCTGCTCCGCCACCAACAATTTTGCCAAGCGCCTCTCCAATGCCACCTGGAGATGCAACCTGCGAGTACATTCACAGCAGATCGCAATGGATCTCGCCGACGGTCTCGAGTACATTCACAACAAATCCCGATAAATGACCCAACATGAATATAGTGGCCGACAAGATCTCAAAGCTTTATTTAGATTCGAAGACTTGGTCGGAGAAGATGAAAATTTCGACTGACATCACGTTTTCATTGGCTTCTTGATAACCATTCAAGACTTCTGGTCCATTAAAATTTGAAAATTTTGATTTTTTTTTTTAATTCTGACTAGATTTTATTAATTTTTTTGTTCTTTAAAACAAAATTGATTGAGATATATGATTAAATAAATAAACAGTCTTGCTGTACATTGTGTAAATTTACACGAGATTCGAAATTCTTTTTTGGGTACCAGACGAATTCATTCATTAAACGCAGAAAATCTGTACAATTGTTCCTCTTCCTTCAAGAAAACTGTTATCAATTTCTCATAAAAATTAGTAAAATAAAATATTCTTAACCTTCGTTTAATTAATAGTAAAATACACGGTTTCAATCCCTGTATTACAGTTGGAATGTTCTCACTAATCCGCCGCTGCCTCTATTTCTGGGTTCGAATGGGGAAGAGTTATAGAAAGGGTAAAATAGGTATTTTGAAAAAAATTATCTTTTTAATGTTTTTTGTTTTGATGTAGGGAGGTATTTGTTAATTTTGTAAAAATGGAGGGGAGGTTTTGCTAAAATGAAATTAGGGGAGAGATTTTTATGACTGTTAGAAACTTCAGGGGAAGTTTTTGTATTTTATCATAAATATTAACTGTATTTA